TTTATATCGGGTATATTTGAGTATTCAAAAAGTAGTAAAACTTTTAAGCGGAAAACACATAAGGGGACTTCAGGATCGGTATGTTAAGAATTGGCTTATTTTATTGTAAAAGAATAAAAAAGAACGGCGTCAAAAATCAAGTTTGACTCTGATATATTTCTTTACAAATTGACATTTTATTCAAAGCCAACTTAAGAGGCTGGACCTGAATCCTCGTATGTGTTTCCCCCTATAAAATTTTTTAATTGGAATATTAAAAATAAAATCTTTTAACTGGCGCCCAACCTTTCAAATGAGATCGGAGGAATGTAGTCTTTAAATCCTATAGGGAAATTTTAATTTGCTCGTGCAATTTCTAATCAATTCAGTAATTTAATATACATGTGGCGCCCAACATTCTAAAATTTTTTTCACAGATCTGCAATATTGCTAAGGAAGTAAGTCACCATCACGAGTATTGAACTTTAAATAGCAGAATTTCATGCACGACTGGCGCCCAACTTTCCCTTTTCTAATCTTTATACAAAAATGTGGGTTTTGATACCTTTGAGCTTATTATTCCGATAGTCATCATTCGATTGGCGCCCAACGTTTCATATGTGACCCGGAGGCAAATATTCTTTATATCTCCGTATCGCGAAATTGAAGTTTTTGCAAGCATTTTCTCCTCAATGAAAGAACTTTATTCAGGAATTTAATGTACAAGTGGCGCCCAACATTTTAAAATTTTCCGCAGATATAGACAATTGCTAAAAAAACACGTGCCTGCACAAATAGAACTTGGCGCCATGATAATACGAGTATTGAACTTTTTTTGACGGAATTTAATGTACGACTGGCGCACATCGTCACATATTTCGGAGGAGTTATTCTCTACTTTTTTAAAAAGTTGTGTCGCGATAGATGGTATCAACGGATTTTGATAATTTATAAATCAAATATGTGGTCTCCTTTGAGGATTACTTTTATCCAAACAAAAAATAGGTCTTTTTGTCGTTGAGCAACTTTTTCCGGAATTAATCATACAAGTGGCGCCCAACGTTCTGAACTTTTAATTCCCAGAATTGAACATACGACTGCCGCCCAACGTCTCATATATGGACAGAGTTATTTCCTACTTTCTAAAAAGTTGCGGGACAATTAGTTTATAAATCCTACCTTGAGGATTCATAATTTTTGAGATGGGCCTGAATGTTTTGATTTTTGCAAGAAGTTTTTCAAAACAACAACAAAAATGGGTATTTTCGTCTTTTTTGGAATTTCTTATTTCGGAATTCATCATGCGAGTGGCGACCAACGCTTCATATGCGGATGGAGCAAAGTATTTCTATAGGGAAATTAAATTTTTTTCCAAGCAGTTTCTTTTCTTCTTATTCCAGAATTCATAATGCAAATGACGCCCAACGTTTCAACTTTTTGGTTTTACAAAAAAAAATATAGATCTGATATCTTTAGCTTAAAAATGGGACTGGCGCCCAACGAGTATTGAATATCAACGTGCGAATTTCAAAAAGTGATCACCTTTGAGCAGCCATAGTTCAGAAACCGATATCCAACATTAATAAGTTTCTTCTGAGATGGGTTTATTAAAAATCTCGTAGAGAATCTGAAATTTTCGATTTTTGGAGGAAGTTTATCAAAATAATATAGGTCTTGACGTCTTTGAGATTTTTCGGAATTCATCATGCGACTGGCGCCCAAAATTTTCAAATGTGACCTGAAAAATTCATTCTTTAGACCATCTCAAGGAATTTAATATACAAGTGGCGCCCAACATTTTAAATTTTATTCTCAGGTCTACAAAATTACTGAGGATGTCATGTGTCTGCAAAGGAGGGATTGGCGGCAATTAGTTTATTAAAAATACAGAGGTCTGACGTCTTTGAGCTTCTTATTTCGAAATTCATCATGCTACTGGCTCCCAATGTTTTCAAATGTGGCCGAAGGAAAGTATTCTTTACATTTTACGGTTAAATTTAAATTTTTGCATTGATAGCTCAGCAATGGAATGTATTTGTTTTTGCGCCCAACGTTTCAAAAGTGGCCGGAGAAAAGTATTTCTTTGATAGTTTCGTGTAATTTGAATTATTGTAAGCAGTTTCTCCTCTCCTCTTCAGGAGTTCAATTTAAAAGTGACTCAGGATTTGAATATTTAAGTGGCGCCCAACATTCCAAGTATACCAAATTACTAAGGAAGTCTTATGTCTATAGAGATAGGGAATGGCGCCAATATGTTTATAAAAAAACAAATATAGGTTAGACGTCTTTGAGATTTTGTTCGGAATTTATCGTATACGTATCGGTATTTGTTTTAATTCTTGCAGTCGATTTCTCCTCAATAATATCACTTTTTTTAGAAATTCAATATACAAGTGGCGCCCAACATTTAAAATTTTCACCTCAGGTCTACTAAATTGCGAAGGAAGTCAGAGGTTTGCATAGATAGCGACTGGCGCCAATATGTTGGTAAAAAATGTAGGTCTGACGCCTTTGAGCTTCTTATTCTGGAATTCATTATGCTACTGGCCCCCAAGGTGTAAAATGTGGGCGAAGGACAATATTCTTTACATCGTATTGAGAAGTTTTATTTTTACAAATAGTTCTTCTGAATGATAGCTCACGAATTCAATACTAAATTCAAAGTGGCGCACAACATTTCAAAAGTTCACGCTCTCCTACAAAATTTCCAAGGAAGTCAGGTGTCTGTAAAGATAGAGTATTGAACTTTTAATATCAGAATTAAACGCACGATTGGCGCCCAACGTTTCTAATTCAACCTCCGCTTGAATTCTTTAAATTCTAAAAAGATATCGATTGATTGATGTAAGTGGCGCCCAACATTTCAAAATTCCACGTTCTTCTATAAAATTGCAAAGGAAGAGACGTGTCCGCAGAGATAGAGATACGTTTAAAAAAATCATAGGTCTGACGCCTTTAAGCTTCTTATTTCCGAATTCATTATGCTACTGGCGGCCAACGTGTAAAATGTGGGCGAAGGAAAATATTGAGAAATTCTATTTTTTACAAACAGTTCTCCTGAATGAAAGCTGAGGAATTCAATATTAAATTCAAAGTGGCGCCCAACATTTCAAAAGTTCACGCTCATCTACAAAATTGCCAAGGAAGTTAGGTGTCTGTAAAGATAGGGTATGGAACTTTTAATATCAGAATTGAACGCACGACTGGCGCCCAACGTTTCTAATTCAAGAGGAGGTATTTTTAAAATTCTAAAAAAATATCGATTGATTGATGCAATTAGCGCCCAACGTTTCAAATATGACCGGGCGAAAAGTTTTCTTTACATCTCCAATCACGAAATATTCATTTGCGCAGTTGAAATCTAAATACTAGTGGCGCCCAACGTTCCGTATTTGACCGGAGGTGTTCATATCTACTAAGATGCGTTCTGATTTATGTAAGAAGTTTATCTTGTCTTTTTTAGATTTTTATTTCAGAAATCATCATGCGACTGGCGCCCAATGTTTCAAATGCTGTCGGGGAGACGCATTCATTACATCGTATCGTCATCCTTTGGAAAAATTTTAGTTTTGCAATCAATTGCTCCTCAAATTATTTACTCGGGAATTCAAAATACAAGTGGCGCCCAACATTTTACATTTTCCTTACAGATCCACAAAATTATTAAGGAAGGTTGAGAAAACTAATTACATTAGCTAATTTTAATTGCCTGAAATCCGTATTTGGTGCTCGAGGGTGTTGAGGGGGAATGGCAACCTTCAATTCATTTATTCGGAAATTCAAAATGCAAATGGCGCCCAACATTTTACATTTTTAGAAGAATATTAAGAAAACTAATTCAATTAGGCAATTTGAATTGCCTTAAATCTGTATTTGGTAGGTGAGAGTGTTGAGGGGGAATGCCAACCCTCATTCGGGAATTCAAGGTATAAGTGGCGCCCAACATTTTACATTTTCCCACTGATTCACAAAATAACTAAGGAAGATAAAGTCAACTAATCACATTAGGAAATGTTGAGATGAATGGGAGTGTTGAGATGGATGGCAACCCTCAATTCACTTATTCGGGAATTCAAAAGGCAAGTGGCGCCCAACATTTGACATTTTCTCCTAGTTTCACAAAATTACTAAGGAAGATTATGAAAAATAATTATATTAGGCAATTTGAATTGCCTGATATCTGTATTTGGTACTTGAGGGTGTTGAAGGGGAATGACAACCTACAATTCATTTATTGGGGAATTCCGAAAACAAGTGGCGCCCAACATTTTACCTACAAATCCACAAAATTACTAAGGAATATTAGGACATCTCATTACATTAGGAAATGTTCAGATGAATGGATGGCAACCTTTTATTCATGTATTCAAAAATTCAAAATTCAAGTGGCGCCCAACATTTTACATTTTGCCTACAGATTCACAAAATTACTAAGGAAAATTAAGAATCATGAGATCAGGACTAATTTGACTTCCAAAATAAATGACAATTTTGAAATGAAGAAAAAAATTATCCTCCTAACCCACTGTCCACACTTGTCACTAATTTGACAAATAATGAATGATATCGTTCACATTGACATGCCCCACTCTCTTCATGATGTGTGTGTGTGTCCACCAGATGTGTGGATGAAGACGGAACTGTGTTGGTGATACAGATTGATTATTAATTTTGGTTCAAAAATATTTTATAAATATTTTTGTAATAAGCTAGGCATTGATCAAATATCCACACACAGTTCAATTTCAACAGTTTTGAAGACTAGAAAGGGTTACACTTGACTTGAATTTCGGGAAAAAATTAAAACGCATTATTTTTTTTTAAAGATATGAAGTCCGGTTTCCGAGAAAATAGATAACATTTTTTGGAAAGTGCATACATTTCCCTAAATGGTTTGAAATAAAAAAAAGAATAAATTGTTGGAGAATTTCCAAAATTCTTGACATTTGGAATTTGCATTCGATGCAGTAAACATCTAACCTCCACCTACCAACCAAACCCCCGAAACATTCTTCCACATAATGGAATTTTTTGCCGATGGTGGTTTTCAACAATTATTTTGTGATTTAAATGAACAACAATATTGTGAATCATCGATAATGTGGAATGATCAAGGATCCCTAACACCGGATTACAGTGACCACAATGAGCTGAACAATAACACCGAAATTTCCGAAGAAAATTATTTATATTGTGATAATGATTATTATTTTGTGACAATGGAAGCGGAGTCGGAAGCCTCAAATCCCAACGATCTCAGTGAAAAACATCTGCAAGCCAGTTTAGATTATCTGCTTAACAACAGTTATGATCTCATGGACAGCATTTCGCAACACGCCGAACTAACATTACAAGCCAAAGAACTCAGTGATTGGGAGGAAAAGTTTCTCGACAATTACATAGAAATTCCCGAACTTGTCGAATTCCTACCCGAAAAGACACCCCTGTGTACGGAGAACTGTAATCATTTCCTACAGGAGAGTGCGGAGAACTTAAAACTATTTGCCACACCACCAAGTTCACCGGGATCATCGTGTAGCTCACCCACCACATCACAAACTAACAGCAAACTGCCATCCTCCGCGGAATACACCAAAGAAAATGATAAAATCTATACCTGCAATTTTGGTGATTGTGGTAAAATTTATGCCAAACCTGCCCATTTAAAAGCCCACCTGAGACGCCATCTAGGCGAGAAACCCTACGTGTGCACTTGGTCAGATTGTACGTGGCGTTTTTCCCGTTCCGATGAATTAGCCCGCCATCGCCGTTCACATTCCGGTGTTAAACCGTATAAATGTGATTTTTGTTCGAAATGTTTTGCCCGTTCCGATCATTTGACAAAACATCGAAAGGTTCATGAACGAAGGATTTTAGCAGCCAGCAAGGCAGGGAAACTGTGCCTGGGTGGTGTTATGCCTCAGTCCGTGTTGACTGTCAGACCGGGACGGAAGAGGAAAAATCAATTATAGATTAGAGGTTATTTTAGTAAATTATGTTTTCTTTTTTTTTAATTTTTAAGGCGATAATTGCAATTATTTTTTAAGGATTTTAAAATTAAGAACCATGTGAGTGCAATAAAAATAAGAAGAATATAATCTAAATTCAAAAAATGTTTATTTTTTCAATATGGATTAAGGTTTTTAATACCCAACACAACTAAGTGGCGCCCAACATATCAGAATTCCCCCCTCAGGTCTACAAAATTGCTAAGGAAGTCAGGGAATGGCGCCAACAAGTTTATCACAAAAATATAGGTCTGACGTCTAAGAGCTTTTTAATTCATCATCCAACTGGCGCCCAACATCTAAAATGTAGCCAAAGGAATGTATTCTTTACATGGTATGGGGACATTTTAATTCTTGCAATCAGTTTCTCCTCAATGATATCACTTTATTCAGAAATTCAATATGGAATTCAAAGTGGCGCCCAACATTTCCAAATTTACCCAAGATCTACAAAATTGCTAAGGAAGTAAGCTGTCTGCATAGATAGGGTCTGGCACCAATATGTTGATTAAAAATGTAGGTCTGACCCATTTGAGCTACTTATTCTGAAATTCATTATGCAACTGGCGCCCAACATGAAAAATGAATGATAGCTCAAAAATTCAATATGGAATTCAAAGTGGCGCCCAACATTTCCAAATTTCACCCTAGGTCTATAAAATTGCTAAGGAGGACAGGTGCCTGCATAGATAGGGACTGGCGCCAATATGTTGATTAAAAAATGTAGGTCTGACCCATTTGAGCTACTTATTCTGAAATTCTTTATGCAACTGGCGCCCAACATGAAAAATGAATGATAGCTCAAAAATTCAATATGGAATTCAAAGTGGCGCCCAACATTTCTAAATTTTACCAAAAGGTCTACAAAATTGCTAAGGAGGGCAGGTGTGTGCATAGATAGGGTCTGGCGCCAATATGTTGATAAAAAATGTAGGTCTGATGCCTTTGAGCTTCTTATTCGAGAATTCATTATGCTACTGGCGCCCAACGTTTAAAATGTGGGCGAAGAAAATTATTCTTTACATCGTATGGAGAAATTTTAATTTTTACAAACAGTTTCTACTGAATTCCAAAATGGAATTCAAAGTGGCGCCCAACATTTCAAACTGTACTGTATTCATTTTAGGCAGCAGCATCTTTTTGTTGACCCCCTGCCACCAAACAAGGCAATCATAAGTAAGAATGGGTAAGACGATCGTCATATACAGCCAGTGTATTATCTCGGGTCATAATCCCCAGCTCTTACCTATGGAGTTCTTACATGAGTAGAGTGCCAGCAGTCCTTTTTTGGAGCGTTCCTCAACATTCCTATTCCACATTAGTTTGTGGTCAAGGATGGTGCTTCTTCAGAAAGGGTTAATGTCACTCCTCCCAGTGATGGCAGACGGAAACTAGGAATCTTACGTTTCCCAGTGAAGAGCATCAATTTTATCTTAGTGGGGTTTACACCAAGACCTTTGGCGCAAGCCCAGCTAGACAGGGTTGAAAGGCTAGCGAGTCATACGCTTTCGGGATGAAGGTCACTGTTACCTCTTTCCATAGACTTGGTATATACGACAGAAGTAAACAAGCCCTAAAGATGTCCTGCAAAGATGCCAATACTCGTTCATCTGTGTGTTGCAGCATGGCCGGTATTATACCATCTGGACCAGGAAAATTATAGGGTTTAAAACCGTTTATGGCCCATACCAGTTTTGTGTAGCTTATAGTATTTTCTATCAACGTCTCCTCCTACCTCGTTCGAACTTTAGGCTGATGCACACACTGCGCATCCTCTCTTACAACAAGGAAAGCAGGTTGACGATAGAAGATCTAGAGTCTCACTGCCAGAGTTTGTCCACGTTTCATCACTTCGCTTAATACTACCTATAGATTTTGGATCTTTAGATAATACTCTGCGAAAGCTGGCCGCTTCGTTGACTCCTTCGATTAACTCCTATAGCAGACCCAAGACTCACGTTTAGCCTTCTTGATTTCGCTCTTGTACCTATTGAATTGTCTTTTATAGACATTCCAATTTGTACTGAGCTTTGTCTTGCCAGCTCTATAGTATGATTTGCTTGCAGCCTTCCTCAAGGTGGCAAGATCTTGTGACCAACATACCGGCTGGGATTTTTTTTCCCAGGGTATGTTAGGGGACAAGAAGCCTCATAGCTCTTTAGAAGAGTAGCCGTTACATTATTCACAGCTAATTCAATATCCTCAACCGCTTTTAGATCTTTATGATCCAGGGTCGAGGCTGCTGTTTTAGCTTTGAATTTGTCCCACTGTGTCTTCCGAGGATTCCTATAAGGCTTCTGTTTGCCTCTGGAGGTAGGCATCCGGAAAGATATCAGTCTATGATCCGAAAAGGAGCATTTCTCAGACACCTCCCAGTTCATGACCCCAGAGTCGTCCATATTTGTGAGGGTTATGTCAATGACATCACCTCTCACCCTATTTACAAACGTTGGTGTGTTGCCCCTATTACAAATTCTAAGATTAAAGCTAAGTATAAACTCAAAAATGGATTCACCTCTCATTCATAAATATAAGTGATTTAGCTCTTTTTGCCACTGAACACATAATATGCGTTCATTTCGAAGGAGGATATTTTCTTTTAAATTTTGAAAGCTGAATACTGGCAAATGCAAATTTACGAAAAAAATTGGAAACATATGACTTCATGAGACTACCTTGTATAATTATGCCATGAATAACAAATTACATTATCATCTTAAAATTTATAGGGCAAAGAATCAATCGCAGAAGTTCTGCGACAGAACTTTTTCAATTCGATATTGGAAATTCTATGTAGAATACAATTGCAATTACACATAGATATACTGCTTTGTGGTTAGATTTCTCGATTCGAATAATGAATAATACACATTTATAATACAATTTATATTTTACCGGATATATAAAGCCAATAGAAATTTACCTATAACAATCAGTTGAATCTACGTCCTCAGCCACTCAATAAAATCGCTTAAAAATGAAGATATTTATTATATTAACATTATTCACAATAATGGTAATTTCCCGCACCCTTGCATTTGGAGGTGAGTTTTCATTCCCCTTTTTATGATGACAATAGGAAATTAATTAATTTTCCCCATTATTTAGTAAGCTGTGTCCTCCCGCCAGCTGTGGCCGGTTCGTGCAAGCAATCGATACCATCCTGGTCTTATGACCAAAAATCGGGTACTTGTAAATTTTTCAATTACAGTGGATGTGGTGGCAATTCGAATCGTTACAAAACTCTACACGAATGTAAAAGCCATTGTAAACCGGGTCCATTTAAACATCCAAGATAAAGTAGAATTATGGGTATTGTTTTTTGGAAATATTAATTTTATTTGAAATATTACACAAATTCATTGAATAGTTTTAATTTAATCTAATATTAGGGTATTTATCACAGATTGTATTTTGATTTAAATAAGCGAGGATAAATTTGTTTTCCCAAGACGTCCATCACCATATATTCAGTTCGAAGAAATATTATATCGGTCCACGTTGGGCGCCAGTTGAGAACTAGACCTTTAAAATATATCGTACATGTGATAGTCTTCTTAAAAAAATATTTTAAGAATCTACGCCTCTGAGAGTCTTCTTAAAAAAATTATTTTAAGAATCTACGCCTCTGAGAGTCTTCTTAAAAAATTATTTTAAGAATCTACGCCTCTGAGAGTCTTCTTAAAAAATTATTTTAAGAATCTGCGCCTCTAAGTGTCTTCTTAAAAAAATATTTTAAGAATCTACGCCTCTGAGAGTCTTCTTAAAAATTATGTTAAAAATCTACGCCTATAAAAGACTTTCATAAAAATTTATTTTTTAAATCTATGCCTCTAATAGAATCTGATCTCTACAAAAATTATTTAAAAAAACCACCTCTACTACTTCTTAAAAAACTATTTTAAAAATTGGCGTCTCTGATACTTCTAAAAAAAATATTTTAAAAATCTACACCTCTGATAGACTTCTATTAACATTATTTTTTAACATCCATACCTCCGATCTTCTACAAAATTAATTTAAAAAATCTACGCCTCTGATAGATTTCTACAAAAATTATTTTAAAAATCGAAGACTCTAATCTTCATAAAAAAATTAAATCTATACCTCGTAGACGTCTACAAAAATTATTTTAAAATATCTACGCCTCTGAATTCTACAATAGTAATTTCAAAAATCTACTCTGATAGACAACAACCTCGTAGTCTAAACCATATGACATTTCACCAAACGCGACATTCGGCCAGCAGAAAATTTTCAGAACTTCCAAAAACCAGACAGATTCTGATCTGTCATTAAAGATGACCAGGTTGCTATAACCATCTTCCGCCACTTTATTAAAGGAAAACATGTCCTTATAATTTATTTGTTGAAGTCAACATCTTGGGACAAGAAATTTGAAATCCAAGTAAATTTTGTATAAAATGCGAGCAGGGTTTCACCTAAATGTACAAAGGAATTATCCAAAAATATATCCTTGTTTTTAACAGTAGTGAAGCTCAATAAACTGATAGCTGGATGCAACAGCTGATAAAGACTTACGACCTCCCGTTTGGGAGAATCCCAAGTGTGTATGGCCGTCAACGGAGAATTTCCAGGAAACTGTACTGCTTCCCAGCCAAAAATAATTATTTATCCAACACTTCCAGGTATCCTCAAAGCTGCTGATGAATTATAGAAAAGAGAGAGAAAGGAGCAGTCGATACAAAGACATGATTGCGCCTCAAATTTCATATGAAATAATGGTGAAATTAATCCATAAGGGGGAGTGGGCAAAAACATGAAAAATTAGTAGGTGATCCATAAAAGAATTAAACTAATTTATGATCTGCAAATTAGATCCAATGAGGAAGGTATTTAATTATGTTTGTTTCATATTTGGCTATATTTTGGGCAGTGTTCAGCATCTTCCACATGAGTCACATTGCCTGAACTCATTGGCACCTATTCGAAGCAGGTTGACT